TACTCAGGATCGGTGTTGGTCTGAAATTGATCAAAATTTCAGGATCTAACATTGGAAAAAAACACAAAAAAACAATTAAAGCCCAATTCAATCCGATACCTATACCCAAATCTCCGACTGTACTTCACCGTAACAGAGACACCATCACCCCAGCAACAGCAGCCAGTTAAAAAGAAGGTTTTGTATCGACCAACCCACAAACATGAGACAGAAATGTGAGGTATGTAACAGCTGTGTGAACAGACCTGGGATTAAAGAGTACAGATACCTGAGAAAAAAGGTAAACTGTAGTGTTCCATAGATAACACAGAGATATATTCAAAAAGAATTACACTTTGACTGAGGGGTGGTCCGTTTGTCAAATATCTGCTCTGCTAATTCAATATCCAATCAAAGGTATCTGTTGTGTTTGTTGATGTAGGATTAGTTATTTTTCTCACGCCTGTGTCACTTCATTCAAATCTGTTGTAGTAACAACTTCCTCTTTTTCTCCCCTCACGGCTCATCCTCTCCTTGTTGCCTTCAGCCACGCCCCCTCCACGTCTCACACCCTTTCTCCACTCTGTTACCGTTCTTCAAATTTACCCGAACCCGTCCCTTTCCTCCTTCCATCCATCCCTTCCTCTTTTCTCTCCCTCACAACCTTTGCATTAGCTGATTGGGCTTTAAGTGCATTTGTCTCCGCCTGCTGTACACTTTATCCCAGCATCCTCCTCTTCCTTTCCCTCCTCCACATGGACCCTTCCTCTTCTCTTCGTTCCCCTCTTCAACCTGTTTTCTCTCTCAGTAATCAGAAGTGGAGCTGACTCACCCACACACACACAATCACACAGTTGTGGTTGGTTTAAAGACGGGGTAAGTCTTTCTCTCACACACCAGCCGACCAGACAATATATGGCTCATCTTTGAAGAATGACAGCTGTCAGTATCTGAGCTCTCTCTCTCTCTCTTTCTCTCTCTCTCTCTCTCTCGCCACCACATCTGTAGCCATGTGTGGGAACAGAAAGTGTGATGTGAGCTGAATGTGTACGCTTAAAGTGAGTATGTATATGTGTGTCCTGTGTTTCGTGGGGAGAGAGGGGAGGAGTCAGAAAAAGATTGTACGTTTTCATTGGCTGTAATGCCGCGGCGTGTAATGTTGCGCGGCGCTCGGGCGGCCAATCGCGAGCTCCCCACACACTCCCCCGTTTTATGAATGAGATGGCACGTATGCAAGACGCACGCTCACACAGAGAGAGAGAACACTCTACAGTGATGTAATATAATCACAGAGAGTACAAGAAGACAAACGCTCCAGCAGACGTGATGGAGTAACAAAAGAAAATGTTTTTGGAAAACAGCTGAAAACATAGGCATACTAATTTGACACTCATGGATGCAGACGCTGTATAAATACACAATAACTGTACGTCATAGAACTACATTCACTATACTTAAAAAAAAAACAGCTCAAACTACTTTCTCTTAAAATTATATTGAAACATAAAACCTTCCAGTGTAATTTCCTTCAAAGGCCAAAAAAAAAAGTCAGGTCAAAATGATTTGTTAAAATGTTCCACTGTGTGCAACATCATCACTGTCCGTCAACAACAACAGCATCACCTGAAATACCTGCTCAACAATTAACTCCTCGCCTGACATTACGAAAACAGTTCACACCCTGTGTCTGACACCAATATCCTCCAACCGTCTGTGTGTGAACCAGGAACTGAGAGCATCTCATTTGGCTGACACTGTGTACTAGGGAGTCATTTTGCCTAACCGGTATGTAAAATCCTAACTGAATAACTGTGTGTGTGAGGCTGGCTGACAACAGAGGAGAGACAGGGAGAGATGGGAGGAGAGCAGCCAAAAACTATCAAAATATCCTGGTGTGAGTTTTCATGAAGGATATGTGTATCTGTGTGTGTATCTCTGTGTGTGTGTATCTGTGTGTGTGTCTTCTATGAAGTCACTATTTGGCACATTGCTCTGACTGCTGCACAAATGTAGTTCATTGTCGTCAGTGCATAATTGTTGGTAAACAGTGCCCCCTTTGGTTGCATATAGTAACTGCAGCCTGTGACAAAGAGAGACTGAGCAAGTGTAGTCCGTCACAAACAGTGTTCAGAGGGTCGAACAGGAGTGCAGTGGTTAGTGCTGTTGCCCCCCAAAAAAACGCCACAGGTTTTGGCCCAATGGATCATTTTCTGAGTAGTTTTTTTTTCCAACATCTAAAATCTTGCCCATTGATGGGGGTAACTGGAGACTTCACACTGACCACCTGCCCCATGACCTCTGACAGAACAAAGCAGTAGCAAATGAAAGCACCAACAGATGACAAGAAATGCAGACAAGAACCAAAAGACTTTGTCTCTTTAAACTGTAAATACATTGGATTTTTGTGCATTACAAATTGGATTTAACCCTAACTAACAAGGGTTAGGGGTTAGGGCTAACCCTAACCCAAACACACACTCTTCAGAAAATATGACTGAACTTTGTTGTTCGTATTGAACCTCGCCTGCAGTCGAAGGAGCAAAAGGTTAAAAAGTTGTAAAACCATGAATGAGTTGAGTTTCTGCAAAAGAATGACCTCATCCTGACGGTGTGTAGAGACGTGACAGCTCCCGTCATGAGCCAAGGCTGCCACCTGGGGGCCAACACGAGAACTACTACTACTTTTCACACCAGGTGATGTCATATTTCTGAGAAAGATTAAGGGACAGAGAGGTGGGTGGGAGTGGGAGTGGGGGGGTGTTAAACAGAGAAACAGACTGGAGTGGGGAGGGAGGTGATGTCATGTTTTTAACAGCTCACTTTCATGCAGTAGAAGTCTGGCTTTGTCCAAACTGCCTTGACAGACATCAGGGTGGTATCGCTCTGTTATTAACATAACCATTTTCAACCGTTCGACTGGGGCGAGGACACAATATAACTCACGTCCTCATGTCCAATCTGACCGGAGACCACATCAGGAATCCATTTCAGTCCTTGTCATTCCAGACTATTCCAGTCCCTTCACTGCACTCCTAACAATTTCATGCCATTCCACACAATTGCACTGCGTTCCATGCCAAACCCATTCAAAACAATCACCAACTGCTCTAAGTGCAATCTCCTCTGATTCTGGCCATGACAGGTAATTTCTCCTTCTAACAATCTCAAAGAAAAAAAAAGAAGGAAAAATAACAGAAAATGCAGACACTCAAGGAAGGGGATGCAGGGAGAAATGAAAGAAAACAGAGTGAGGACACTGAGACACAAAGCTGAAAATCTTAAAGTTTGGCAGAGAGCTACTGATCTTTGAGGTGCTCAAATGTATCTGTCCTGAGCCTCCATCAGATCAAGATGTTTACACAATAAAGCAAAAAATAAAAATAGAAACTACTGCCATTGACAATGGAGAGTGCAACTCACATGGTCAGTAAAACACAACAAGTGTTGTTAGGAATTGTGTGAATGTGAGGTCATGTTTTTCTACAGCCACACTGAAACAGACACAAGTGTGAAAATACATCCTCAAACCTGTAAACCAGGCTGAGATGTTAATTCTAGTTCCCCAGGGTCAAATCACGTGGACTATGACAGTGGTTCCCCCTGGTTTTTTTTTTATAGCTCCTTATGTAGATTGGACTAATTTTGCCCACCTTCACCCTTATGACATGTTCACATCCAAAACACCACTGCAATTCATAGAAAATCTCTAATTCTTAATGAACATAATACATTTTAAAAAATATAAAAAGCAGCACAATGTCCACACTATGGGACAAGTACAGAAAATGTTTTTTTAATTAAAATTAAATATAAAATCCACATAAACATATATAGAATCTGAGCAATCGTGGCAGAATAATGAGTGTGATTCAGAACACTGACGACTGACCTTAAGCAGAGAAATGAATGGCAGTAGAAGAGGCTTTTCATGACTTCAGTGAAGAGAAACTAGTTTCTACTCAGAAATATAATTCAGCTATAAAAAAGTGGCTTTTATAGTTACAAAACATCCTCAGAACCAGAATAAGACCAGAATCAATATATATTTACACAAAATCATGTTCCAGAGAGGCTTTTGTGTTCATTCATACTGAATGTACTTTACCATGAGTTACATTTTGACTGTAAGTAGGAAGTTCAAATTGTTACGATAGGTCGGGGATCAGGGACAGGGAGTATGAATACTGCCTTTTTATTTGGTTTTCAGTCTGAAACTGAACCTCTGCTCTTGAACAAAACAGGACCTTGTCGATTCAATGTCTACTTATAAAAAAAAATCATAAATGGATAAACAAACTACACCATCTGGGTTTGTGTTGATCCACAGTGAAGTTACTTCCAATCCAGGACACTGGCTGAGGTGAAACAGTTATTACCCTTAGAAAACTTTAAAACCACCGCAGATATCTGCATTCACAGCACAGCACTAACTAAGATTTTAACCATTACCTACATAAATTCAAGGCAGTGCCTACACTAGCCACCAGGGGCGGCTGTGTTGCATGTTGCACAAGTCATCGTTAGTCTCTTTGACCCAAAATGCTAGAAATAAGTTAAATTCAGCCTGAGGTCACAAGGAGTATTACCACTAATACTCACTTTTAAACTACATTCATGAAGTCATACAACTGCTAGATCAACATAAGAAGACTGACACAAGTGAAGTTAAAATTACAACAAGATGATATTTACATTAATATAACATTACTATATATATATATATATACATATATACATATGTATATAATCTGTTTAATTACGTTTGATTATAACAATCAAGTCTGAAAGAGATCGATCACCACTAACGTAAAAGTGAAAGCGGACTGAAAGGACAAGACTGCCCTCTTCTGCTCAAAGATCGCAATGACATTGACTTAAAAGAAAATATAATGGAAGATATTTTTTAGAAAATCAAATAGTTTTAACATGTATTATTATTGTTATTATTATTATTATTATTATTAGGCTTTATTTAATGGAAGACTGATCATTCACATCTGTACATTAACAAAACACCCTACCAGTCATTTTGTATCCACTTGCAGCCAACTGTCCAGCCATGTACTCTCCATCTGAGCTGTTGTGACTGCAGCCCCATGTTTTCATCCAAATCTTCTGAGTCCCCGGAATCAAGCTGGGAAATTATCAACCAAGAAAATGTCTTAAGTAAAAAAAAAAGTGCTTTTTTATACTTAAAGTTTTTTTATTTTAGAAAATTAACCCTAAACCCTAAACTACCAATTGGAACGAAATAAATATTCTGACAGCAACCAAAGTACCCTAAACACTTCACATCATACAGTAAAATGTTTGTTTTGTTTGTTCTACCTGTCCGTCTGCAGCTCCTCGTTGTTCAGCTGCTCTTTTCTCCTTCTGGACCTTGGTATGATGCTTTTTCTCGCTGCCTGTCTCTCATGAGGAGTGGGGTCACTCGAGGACACCATGTCCTCAATGTCTTCAATCAGTGAGTCACCAGCGGACGGCATGATCGTCTGAAAATAAGGTTTTCAGTGTTACTTTCTTCTGCAGAATATTGGCTGCTGGTCCAATACATAGACCTTTAAAAGACATGGATCTTGCAGACACCAATTGGAAAATCCTTAACACGGTAACATACAGCAGCTAAGTATCTGAGAGGAAATATTTTGGAGACAACTTAGCTTAAGTGGATGATCTAGAGCCGTGTGATCAGACAGACAGTACTCATAAACAAAGGCTGTCATTAAATCACAACTGTGACTGACCAGCAACGTTTTGTTGTGACTGTAGACGTCCGCTTTTTTCCAAATATTATGTACTTACCAAACGAGTTCAAAAAGATTTACTTTACGTACTTTACTTTATATACGTTTACAATTACAATTAATTTCATTACTTAACAGTTTTTTAATTTATATTTACAAAAAAGGGTCTTTTCAAATGGCTAGATTAGAGTATATATTTTTCAATGATTATTGAAAATTGCAAGAAAATGAACCCTGATACGTTTGTTTGTTTGTCGTTAAGGACGACTTTAAAAACGGCCTTATACAAATCCACATATCTCCCGTTTAATGCCAGAAACATTTACATAAATTAGTAAAGAAACTTAGAATGTAACATGTGAAGCCAAGATCATGTCCAGAACAGACCGGAAGGATCTGGGTTTTTTTAAGCAGCTACTATGCTAAGGCTGACGTTTAATAATACTTCTGCATGATTCGTACTTATTCATTTAACATTTACACAACACAAGGAGGATAAACTGGTTTTGTGTTCAATTTTGGAATCAAAGTGTTTTATTTGACCGATATCCTGCAGCCCGTAGTCTGACGTTTGATAAACATGTCCATGTATGTGTTGCATCGTTAGCATCGTTAGCTCGCGGTACGCACGTGTCCCTAATTTAACGCAGGATGACAGCGTGTTAAAGTGCAGAAATGTCTTACCTCGATACAAATGAAAGTACCGCCTGAGCTAAATGTGGTTACGTTGTTAAATTTTCTTTTAAAATTAGGAAATGCGACCTCTTTAAACCATCAAAACAAAGTCACAACTCTGAGCTCGCCATACTTTGCGTGGATACGGTGGGTAAAGAGGGACAAACTACTGACGTTGGCAATTCGCAGATGACGTCAACCAGCAATGCTTTGAGATGCATGCAATTTTCTCTATTTTCTCACAAAGGTAGTTGTATTTGTTATAACTGATTTGCTTCATAACGTGAGGACACACGTGTCAATCCGTTATTAGGATTAATAACGTATTTTTTTTATTATTGTAGCCTCAAAAGTCAAGAACTAAGGTAGATGTTGGTGAAGATTTTCTTCGGATATACATTTAACGACTGCTAGTCATGTGACATGGACGAACGTGATCACTGAACAATATGAAAGCACCATTAGCCTTGTGTTGTTTATATTCTTTCAGCACAATACCCCGTAATAATTCATGAATTATTAGTATTTATACTAATAATATTTTTCGTTGTACCCCCGTGTTACAATCACAATAAAGGCTATTCTAATTTGCCTATCGCCAAGACTTAGTGTATATAGCAACACTGTGAACTGCTTTTACGCCTATGTGAACTTAAACTTTTGTCATACTAAAAAAGGTTATTTATTGAAATACACCTTGTATATACTATGTGTATCTCGCTACTGTAACAACTGAATGTCTCCATTGTGGGATCAATAAAGTCTCATCTTATTTCTTATTCATATTATCTTTATTCAAAATTTGAATTACAAACGCCCAAAAAACGTACAAAAATCCATTGAACCCTCCCCCTTAACAAATACAATGCACATTCCTTATTTAACAGTTGTTAAAGAAACCATTTATATAAACGAATATCACACATTGAAAACAGATTACTGTTAGCATTCAATAGCAGAGATACGTTCATCCATGCATTCAACTGTCAGGGATGTTACAAGGTAATGGGATATTACAGCTTTTGCTCTCATCACAATAAGAAACTGGCATTAGCATCATAATAAGTCAATTCTCTATCCTGGAAATAGTAAACTTATTTGAGTTACATAGCCATTACAGAATGTTTCATCATGTTAACGTTCTCCGAAACTGCATTACAATAAACGCTCAACCAAAAAAAAAAAAAAAGTATTATTTTCCAAGTTCCAGTATAGTTGTATTGTCTTATCACACGTTTGATGAACTTTTTTTATTTTTTCCATTACCCCACTGAGTACATCTATATACTCACTTGCTAAACTGCACTAGCAGGGCTTTATAATCTTTAACATCGGATCAGAAAGACATGAAAAGGTACAACTGTTTTCACAGCTTCACCTCTTCTTCACACAGACATTAAAAAAAAAGGACCATATTCTGGTCGTTTGTTGAAATTTGTGAGATAGATTGGATTAAGAATTAGCAAAGACACCAAACCAACCTGATTGAGAAAAGGGTTTTGATTTTAGAATAAATACATAAAAATTGATATCCATATCCAGTGCAAATAAGAGTTTTGAGGCTATGCATTCTGGGTAAATTTTACTTTGCTGATTTCCTGCTATCAGATGACAATGACTGGATGTGAATAAACAAAATGTATTCTGTTTTTGGAAATGTTACCGTTACGCTTAAAACGTAACATGAGAAAGATGTTTAAAAAAAAAAATAGACCAACACACTAAGACTCAGTATCACAGAAAACGCACATCCCATTTTTTTCCCCAATTGTAGACAGTGAAAGCTTAGGGCTGTCTCTAGAGCGAAGGCATACATGTACACACTACACAGGAGTATGTTGTATGTTGTGAATCTCACACAGCTCACATGATAAAAGTGCAACCAAACCTCTACTATCATCACATCAAAACCATGTCGTTTCTATGGATTCAAACACACTCACACTATGGCATTTACCACAACTCCTCCCACCATCGCTGAAGATCTGGATCGAGAGGTAGGCTGACAGTACCGTGTGCATTTAGAAACCTGTACACCAATTTACAGATGGCAGGCCATCTCTTCAGCGAGCCGAGTCTCTGACATGTACACACACACACACACACACACACACACACACAGGCTACAAACAGAAGGACTCAAGCGCATACAAGTCAGGCTGAAGAGGAGGCATTAAGGAAGAGCAGCAGCAATATTTCCTGCAGCCGCAGGATCTTTTAAAGATCAGTGGTTACCAAAGTGGAAGGCAGACTCCCCTTGGGGGGGCCACTGAGTTATTGCAGGGGGCACATAGTTTTTAATATATTTTTGTGTCACAGTGGAGAAAAACAACATTTATGACTAATTTCATCATACTTTCTTCAGTGACAATATCCATTTTTAGGCATGACAGTTTTTAATAAAGTACAGATAAGTTGACGGGGGAGGCAGCTTGACAATGGTCCCATCTACAAATGGGGGGAGGTGCAGAAAAAGTTTGGAAACCACGGACCTAGATTCAACGCTACACGTCTCAGGCCAGTCAGTTGTCCGTGATATTTAGAAAAAGGTAAAGCAGCCGAGGTCCTGTTGTTTCTAGTATCTATGGAACAAAAATTACCTCCCAAAGCCTTACTGTTCAGGTCTAAGTTGTTTTGTTTTTTTTTATTATTAACGACACTGATTACATGAGACACAGCTGAATTCAAATTCCTTGGTTACAATAAAGGCTTTTTTTTTAATATATTTTAAAGTTTTTCGTTTTTTTAATTCCCTACTATAAACACAAGCGGGTCATTACATGCTACAGTCTCTAGTAGGGTTGAGCTGCTTCTTCAGTTCTAGGTGACCACAATTAGTCATGACTACAGTATTAAAATCTTTTAAAAATTCAGTCCATACTAAACCTAAAACAGACGTGCTCACCTAGCGCATTTCTCACACTGCTTTCAGCTCATACTGAATTAGCAGCATTGATCAAGTGGTCAAAGTCCAACAATTCTTATGAGATATCAGATAATTTCACAGCACACAGAAACTGAAGAGGATAGAAATACTTTTTGCTTTTTTTAACGGCAGTTCAGAGGATCACGGCAGGAAACAGTAAAAAGCAGCAAAACAGTTTTTTCACTAGTTGACTGTGTCATTTTTCCACATGGTCAAAGTATATGTATTTTTAATATTATTGCAAGAAGTTAGTTGTAGATTTGACCGGATAAATGGATTGTTTTGGGGGTTCATACGCTCGTTCACATTGTAAATTAAAGGTATAAATTTGAAAATTCTACTAAAGGATCCATCAAATCGTTTCTACGTCCACATCTAAAACATTTTTCACAGCACAAAAAAAGGTGTTAAATCATTCTTTGTAATTGACAGATTGGAAGTACAAATGGGAAAAATGGCTGAAGCTTCAGCATCATAACTACACTGTAAACTACCACTGTAGTCTAGATGATGGATCCAGAAACATCCAATTTTTGTATTTACTTTATATTTGTTTTTCTTTCTAAAATCAGCTTAAGTAGTGGACAGCCAATGATCATTGCTTTTTTTGTTATTTTTTGTTTAAATGACTCATTAATTCATAATGATGAATTAAGGTCCTAGCAAGCGCACTCAAACGTTTTCCCTTCTCCCATGAAGCCCCACTTGGTGACAGTTTGACTTGATCACATCTGCACACTCCTTGAATGACCTGCTAAACTGAAATTAATGAGAACAGCTAGAAATGCCAAAACCAAGTGCTGACATTTTTAAACCCCTTGTTCCATCTCAGATTGTAACATCTTCAGATGCCCACTGACGCTCAGCTAGAGATGAAGTTTTACACGGCCTGAGAGGAGGACTTACCCATGTGGTCTGCACACGGACCAGTTGCATCTGCGTGTGAAATCATTGAAGGCCATTTGAACACATGATTGAGTCCCACTGGGACTAAAGATGGCCCTCGATTCCTCTCACACATGGATTTAAAATTTGTTTCTACCAACTGCAGTCAGTCGCAGGCATCAAAATTCCTCTTCTGATATACAATGTTTCTCCCATGCACAGTCTGAGCGCCAGTTAGCTACTGCTAGCTGCAGAGGAGGTCATCCAGGCAGGAGGGCATTTTATCAAAGTCATAGGCATCAAATAGATCGCTTATTCCCTGATCATTTTCCAGACCTAGAAGGTAGTCTTCTTGGTCGAGGAGAGGAGGGCCAAGGTTTAAGAATGGCCCCAACGATGATGGCATCTGGTCTTCTGTCTGTTGGAGAAGACTGGTGTAAGGGTAGGAGATTGGTGACAGTGTGGTAACAGAGACGGACGAGGAGGTTGGAGGAGGAACCACAGAGGAATTTGAGGATGTTGTGGTGCAGGTGGTATCTGTGGAAACAAACAGATGAAATAGTCATATCTAATGCCAAGAGACTGCTTAAAAAAAAAAAATTAAAAAAAAACTTCTAAATGGCCAAGAGACTGCTAAAAAAAAACCCGGTATTTCAAGTATGAGGTATTCAAACCTTGCAGAACTGTTAGGAACGGGGAGTTTCCGTTGATGTCTGTACTGCCATTTTTAACAGGACTTCTAGGGTCATTGTCCTCATCAGGACACAGCAGAACTTCTATTGGACCTTTGGTGCTGGTAAGGTGAATGGACAAACTCTGGAGAAGAAGAAAAAAATATCAGAATAAGTTCAAAACTGGACAGGTAAAGAGTTACTATAGACAAGACGACCAACATTACTATCCATCTTCTTCTAAGTTAGAACCAGGGGTATCCAAATAAACGCATGCTTCAACATTCACATGAAGCCTAAGACTGAAGATGACTACAGTACCGTATGTGAGATTGTGCTGTGTTGGGTACAAACCTTATCTGGGTCTGGAACTTCTAGTTTGGTGTCTGTAGGCGCTTTGACCACAATAACAGTCTGGTCTTTGAGGGTTTTCAGCTGCTTGATGTCTTGGTATGTTACATATGAATACGTAAGAAACAACATGTTAAGGAAATGTCAAAATGTCAACACAACAGTCACCATGTTTGAACTGTTAAGGAAATGTCAAAAAGTCAACACAACAGTCACCATGTTTGAACACCTTGAAGGTGTATGTTCAGCCCAACAGTCTGTCCTTCATTAAAGGCTGGTACTAAGGATAAGTGGATTCACACAGACTGTAGTTAGTGTTAGTGTAGTAGTGTTGTAGACTGGTTCAACTTTACAGCAATGTGTAATTTCATAACAATAAAATATGGCACTCATTTAAAACGTGAATAAAACCACAGTAAGATTTGGTTTACATACGTCAACATCCTGGCTAACTGCTGATATTCAACCCACGACCAAAAGGATATTTCTGATTGCTAGGTGATTCGCTCATGTTCCTCATGTCCAGAGTGCACCTTTGGATCAGCTGTTCCAGCTTCTGCTCCTCTTCTCCCAGTGCAGAAACTTCAGCAGTCAGCCTCTGTCTTTGGCTCAACGCTCCTTCGACCTCCAGGAGGCTACAGCCCCTGTAGGCAAAAGAGGGTTTTCACAGTGTAAAAGTAAGTCGCCAGGTCCATCCTGCTTTCAACACTTGCCCTTTGTGATATATCAGTAGTGAACTGTAGTGTTGCCTTGATACCACTTCCTTTTTAATTACAAACCAATATAAGTGGCAGTGTTTCATTTGTGTACTTAACGATAACAACTGACAGACTGGGTACAAACACAGCAGTGAATGAAACCACAGAACGATTACTTTAGCTCTACTCTGTTGAAATAAACATCACAACTTCCATTTGTTCATTCTACCACTTAATCCTATGCAGGACTGCAAAGGAGCCAGAGCCATTCTCAGCTGGTAAGTGGTAAGGGTCTCGGGGTCCACCCTGGACAATTCGCTGGTCAATCAAAAGACCACAGTGACAAACAACAACTCACACTTGCACACACAGGAGAACATGCAAACACCAGTCTGGTGCCCTCCCAGTGGCCTATGATCAAATGTTAACATTCACACACCACATTAACGGTACATTACACATGTCCAAAATATTTCTGTCCATGCTGCTGAGATAGTGAAAATAACACCTGTCCAAAGAATGCCAGTCAACAGGTGGCAGTATAACCTAATCTGTCTGCTCTAGTGACCCATCAGAAATGAGAGCAAGGAATCTCTTTCAAATTCTACTTCAACAAACAGTGACAAAAATCATCTGACACAAAATTAACAGCATTATGAGGTCACATACTGACATCAACACTGACAACACTGTCCATTACTAAATAAAGTGCATAAAGGAGCAATTGTCTTTATTTTAAGGGGAGTATTTGACAAGTCCGGTTCTTAAGAGTTTTCCGATATTTCTGAAGTAGCAGTAAAGTCGACTGACCCTAGGTCAGCCTGGACAGGATTAGGATAAAAGAAAAGACACAACATTAGATAGGAAAATGGCCAAAAACAAAGAAGCCATGGGTGCACCATGGTTCAAACCAGTGGTTCACAAAGTGGAGGATGAGCCACAAGTTTTTGAATTTGGGAGAAGAGAGGGAGTGTATCTGGAAAATCAAACCAATTCCGTTTCAATTTTTTCTTTATTTGATCGACAAGAGTAAAACTGCTCCTGTTTTAGTTTTGTTTCCTTCAATATATTCCATGGGAACAGCAGTTTTGTAGGAATTACAGAACCAAAGGTGGAGGTTTGAAACAAAAGCTGTGAATGGGTCAACATGGGTGGGGCAGGGCTGCAGAGAAAACCAGTTTTTTCCCTTATATTGGTTTTGAGAACCACTGGTTTAAACCAACTACTAAACTCAGAGGAACAAAGTAGGATAACAATGTAAACTTACATCCACTGGATATTGTTCTTTGATTTCTTCTTGATGAGGTGAATGCCCTCCAGAACATTGGTGATGTCATACAGCCGTCTTTTCTGTACCTAAAGGTTGCCGAATTAAATTTAAAAAAAAAAGTAAACTGTGCCTTGGTTGTTCTTTAGGTGCAGTTCAAAAACAGATGTAGTCAGAAGCATCAGTACCTTTAAGGTGTCAGCTGCACGGTTGAGGTCCAGAACACCATCAGACGACTGAGCCAGAAGCTCCACAAACTTCTTCGTCAACAGGCCCAGGGAGGTGTCGTACCGTGTCTTCTCTGGTGGAGATTTGGGCGCTGAGGTTGCAAGAGTTGAGAAAAATAATTAGCCGAAGCTATAGCTATACTTAATTTAGCAGCATATTTGTTCAGAAAACATTACAACTCAGGGACTGTACCTCCATCAGTATCAGTAGAACTACTGAAGAATTAGTTGGCACAAAATGGAAAAGCTATGCTGTATCTGGGCAGATTCTGCATGTATTAGACTAGATGTATTAGATATTCTTATATCTATGTTACAGTTTTGTTATTGGTTGAATAAAAATGTACCCAGTCCTACTAAAACATAGATGATATTAAAAATGTTTTTAAACATAGTACACTGACCAGTGAACTGTAGAAATTGATTTATAACATCAATCTTTTGTTTCAGATAATTTCATAATGTCCTGTGAGCGCCAGGTTCATATACAGACCAAGAGTTCGGTTATTAAGGTTTCCTCACAAACGCTTCTTACAGCAATAGACTTGATGAAACAACTGTAACCTGGTCTACACATCAATGTTTAATCATCAGGGAAATTATTACAGTGTTATGGCAAATGACCAGTGTTTTCTTTTCCACAGGAAGTAGGAGGCAAATGACTCAGACTCAGTTTGTGACTTCCATGAAAAACAAGACACATCAAAGGCTCTGCAGCTGGACAAAAATTGGTCTAAACATTAGCTTTAATAATTACCAGCTGACGTCGATTTATATAATACAAAAATTTTCGATACTACACAGCTGCTTGTGCACGACATTATCAATGGTTCTGAGCTGAGGGCATCAGTGTGTATCATCAAAGTGTGCTACAGAGAGAGAAGCACAATGGCTGCAGCTGCCTCCGATCTTTATCTTCCATATACTGTGACGATCATCTACAGCTTCTACCATATGGATGTAGTGCATGATTGCATAGAATAAAAGTGACTACTCAGTCACACCAGCCACGGTTCAGGTTTTACTCTTTAAATGTTTAATATACTGTATGTTGTAGGACACAAGTACAGCAGGACAGTTCTGCATGAATAGTGCAAGTTAAGAATTTAACTCCAATAGTATTAGAATAAGTAATTGAATCATCTGAGAGAAGTATCCGTACATGTAATATTTATTTGGGGTTGGGTTGAGGGTCATCAGCTTATCTTTTTCAGCTACAGCCTCATTGGGCTCCTCTCAAAAGCATCTCTACTTTGAACCGCTTCCTGAAGACCAAGCACCTCACCAATATTTTGTATTCTCCAAATCAAAGTAACTATTCCTATAGATACTATCTCTAGAAGTACAATACAACATTTGCACCCGTTGTCCTAAACACAACCGAACACATGAGGTCGATTAAAACCTGAAACTGAAGCAGCCAGTTGGATGAGTGACTCTCTTCTCTTAAGAAATCAAACCGGTTGAGATAGATTAAGTCTGACTGTTTATATGCAACTATACCCATTCCCTCTATAGAGTCTAGGCTGTAGTTGTGTACTGTGTGTGCAGAACTTTCTGTGGTCCACTCTTCACAATACACAACCTGGAAATGCAGTGATGTTAACAAGTCTCCTTGAAGATGTTTTCTGCCTCTTACTTCTGGGAGTTTTTAGCCGTGCTCCATTGGTGGCTGTGGCTGCTCCTCTTCCTCTTGGAGTTCTGGTGGGTTCTGACTGGTACTGGTGATCCGAATCATCCAGTGCCAATCGCCTTTTTGCCTGAAAACAAGAAAAACAATTTCAACCAAGTTTTAAGCCATTTCAAGGAATGTTTGGAACAATATCAGCCACAGTTATTTTATAGAGCATATTCATCTTTACATTTTGAACTGTAGTTATTTAGCCTTATAGACCAGGGATGGGTTTCCTGTGTTTATAATACACGTGTACAGCATCACAAACTACAGTTATGTTTCTTTTGGCAAAGGTTTGACCAAGAGCAGCACACATATCTCCAGAATGAGTCACATCCTCTGGTATGATCTCAACCCTACTCAATAATAATAATTGCTTAAACGGGAAATCTTAAAATATTGTGTAACAATGTAAACTTCAAACTAAGAGTTTGTCTAAAGACAACCATCTTCCTTATTTTTCAACCAAGTTGGTGTGATCACAAGATCAACATGACAGGGTTTCAGTTTTGCTTAACAGAAACTTTTAATTTAGGCAAAACCAATAGTTGTTACTTCTTTACTACTGGGCTCCCAGATTGGCAAGATTCTCTGAATATCCCTTTAAGGATATTTAACTTTAACATATCCTCCATTTACAAACAACATAATTATAAATTCAAGATAAGTTGCAGTCAGCCACCTGGACTGCAGCAGCTTTTATTAGCCGTTTCAAATATCTAGAAAAAGTGAAGAGCATAAATAGAAGTTTCAATATAACTTGCTTTTACACTGCAGTGCTGTGAGACTTTTCTCCCACTACTATTCAGAAAACCTGTGCTCAGAGTTGGAGGACTCCTCGCATCCGTTGTTTGCCAACCTAAATAAACATTAGTTATAATATATTGAGCTTATTCTGAGTTTTACATCATCAGGCTATGCACATTGCCAATTGCAAGTGTGTGTGCACAACCCAGCACATTTACATTGGTAACTAGATAGAAGCCCAACATGATACACTAAAAAGAAAATCAGCATCTTATGACTAAATACTTCTATTGTTAGTGAATGATTCCATTGGCTTGTGTTCTCTCTAAACTCTGCCATGTAACTGGATAAAATGTTTACTTTCAGAGTCATTAGACACAAGATGACAATTAGAGTCGTATTTTAACAGGACAGATGCCCCCTTTTTACATTAACCGTTTGGCGCAAATTTAACAACTCTTGAAGAAGCCCCCAATCAGTGTCAACAGATTGTGATACAGTTAACTGTTTACTGTTGCCTTTGTTCCCAGAGCTAAATATTTCTGTCCAAAGAGTTCATGTGAAATTCTGTGTCAGGCGTTTGACACGTTAGTGACAAGCTGCATGTGACCCAACAGGAGGGCAGGGGGCAGAAGCATAAAAGACAGTTCACAATAAACTGCATTAAATTTCTCTCCAACTGTTTGGGGAAATATACCTTACAACTAATTCTGGTGCAGTTCAGTCGCTAGGTGGCTATGGCAAGATGGCCACCTTCATACAGGCCCTTTTATCAAGCACTCTTTTGGAGAGTAACTTGGTACAAACCAAGTCTGTGACATAGCTTTTACATGGAGTTTTAAACAATATGCCATATTTGTTTCTAACTTGGAGGTTCTCTTATTTAGCCCAAGAAGAAGAACACAGCACAGCATTGCTTTTTGTTTTCACTAAGACTGCAAAAGCTAAATGCTATGCTTGAGCACACAGACTGGCACATCATTTGTCATAGCCTCGTATGGTTCTTTAGGTACAAAAATCTCACAGTAGACAATCACAGTATGAACAGTGGCAGTGATATTGTGATTGTATTTTTGTAAACACCTCTGTAAAAAGTGCTTGACGTGTATCTGTACAATGCAGATCAAAACCACTACTTAAATCAAACGGACTTTGGTTTGAATACATTTTAACGACTTAGTTTCAGTTCAGGCTAAGCAAAAAAAAAAAAAAGGTTCTATTTTTCCCAGCCTTAACAGGGATTAATGAATAATCCTTTCAATCTGGGAAAACTTTGGCAGTATTCCACTGTGTTTAAGCAGATGTAGGCAACATCTCACCCCTTGGGAACTCAGTTCTACTGAACGTAGAATATCATTATACAAAAATCAAGCAAATCAACAATAGTTTCAGACATGGTCTGGGCCTAGTATAAGGAAAATAGCATGCCCTCTGTTGACAGCCAAAATGTCAGCCATTTTATATCAGCAGGCTGCTCCCCCTCACCCTCTGCCTGGTCATGGCTTCAGACTGAGACTCAGTCTGTTTTAGTTCATCAAAGATGAATAACCTCAAACCAAACACCCTGAAGACGAAGAACCTATATGGTGTGGTTTCTGCACGTTTATAATAGAGGAAACGTGCACCAGCAGCACGAAAAGCAACAAAGTCAAGTCTTACTTTACTTATTATGAAGGGCACTACAACGTTGTACTCACTGCCCATTTTCCAACTCGCATTCGATTATTAATTTAAGTACAGGTCGACAAAGAAGAGTGGGGGAAAAAACGTAGTTTACTGGTGTTCAATACTACTACGACTAGCTAACTTGTTTTCCAAGCTCCTGCAGAGTTTAGTTAACATTTTTTAGGCAGAAACAATGTACTTTACAAAGCTGGAATAAAAAAAATCGTCAGTCAAGTTAAAATGCCCTCGTTTATAGTTACACATCGTTTAAAGGGGAACAACTATGAACTAATCTCCTCCCAACCCCCCAAATTAAAAAAGACTAAGAGCAGTCACCACTAGGCCAGCGCTAACGTTACTCATCTCTTACCAATATTTCCATATGAGTACCAGGGTTAAAGCAACTCAAATGCACCAGCGAGTTAGCATTGTACGCTATTTGGTGACAATCCCCCCTTCCCAACCACTCAAAACTGACTTAAACTTGTCGTTTACTTCCATAAAGTCAACGCACATCAACTACCCTACTTATTGGAGAAGGCTAGCGTTGGTTATTTAGCCTCTTAGCTGAGTCGAGTGGTTGGAGAAAAGGCTCTGGCTATTGAGCAGCAGCTAATGTTAGCAGCCCCGAAACAACAAGCTCGGCTAAACTAGCAGGCTAACAGTTTGTTTCTCTGTGGGCTAGCTGTTTTTACCAAATTGAACTGTGAGAATGTATTTTTTACCGGCGGTCTTCCCAGAGTGGGTCGTTGTCCGGATCCGTTTGCAGCAGCTTGTTGTGGAGTTGTGTAAATGTTGTTTATTGGAGGCTCCGATAAACACACATTCGATGTCTGTGTAACGTTACAAGGCGGAGAGGCGGTAATAATTTGGATATAAGTAGCGTTGGACTGTCCTGGGTTCAAACGATCTGAAAGGGTGGTTAAAATTATATTACTGTCCAGAGAAGAGCCCCCAACCCCAGCTAAAATCACTTTGTCCGGAGCCGAGGAGATCCCTCTTCTCATCTTGCGTTTGCGGGGTAACCCCTTTCTTGTCTATCTACTTTCGAGCCCTGCTGGCTGCTAATCCGTCACGATTATTTCAAAAATAATCAGACAAAAGTGAAGATGAATATCTGATTCATCGACTTCTGTCAAGTATTTTTCTCTGTATAAGTGCATTTAGGCAGATGCAACGGATTAAAAAGTAGCGCAACTCTCGTTTCCACTGTCTAGAAATGGCTTCAGGAAACGGCCTGATGAATGAAGGGATACGGTTTACGCGCTCAAGAGCCCTCCCGCGAAACTCGGATTTCCCGGGAGTTTTTCAAACGGAATTTACATGCTCAGTGTCATTGGCTGCCCTGGAACAAATCTCCACCCCTTTTGCTGTCATATTGCCTAATCACAGCTCAAGAATCTGAGCGCCACGTGTTCATTGGCAGATGTAAATAGGTGACGTCGGAAGCACGCTGTGCTCGTGCCCTTCTCTGGACGCAGAGCGGCGCAAGTGAACCATCATAGAAAGAAAAAAAATGGAGAAGAAGCCACTGATAAAACGTTAAACTAAATACAAATTGTACTATTTCTTGATTATATAAAAATAACGTTATGGAAAGGTGTGTCAAAGATCAATGTAAATGATATATGTGTAATAAACTCCATCATTTTAACGAACAATATCGTATTCACTGTTATCACTTTCGAATTTATTTTTATTTTTAAAGTCTCCTGGGAATTGAAATATGTAAAATACTCAAGTAATCGAGAAACGAACAAAGTAATACAATGAATAAAACAATTTAGATTTTTAATTTAAAAAGAGTCAGTCAGTAACCAATAACGGATGAGTCGAGCCCTGCCTTTACCTGCCCATTGGACAGCTGTCTGCCTTTTCTAAAGCAGAAAATCGTTGATTACTATGATTGTTATCATTATTATTGTTTTTATTGTTATTATTAGTGTGATTAAAAGTAGCAGGGAAGAGTATGAATATACCATATTTTAATTATTTTTCTATATGTTATAAAAAAAATGGATACAGTGTCGCAAAGGCTTTTTGGTAATTACAGATATATTTGTGTAAATGTTGGGTTGACCTCACACACACTGCACATCACCCAATGTGCCGCATATATACCATTCGTGTTCACTGTGAAGGTACACAATATCGACGGGAAAAAATATGTTTGAACCAGCGTGTTAGATTTGGAGTCGTCAGCCGTGCTTTTAAGTTCAAATGACCAACCGGATATGCTTAACACTGCTACATCCGCTCCAGTCAGCCTTGACATATTTGTGGACAGGCGTGTGAGGAGGCGGAGGAGGAGGAGAGCTGGGAGTGCCATGCTCCTTCTGTCACCCCGTAGACTGGTCTAACTCGTCACCGAACGTTTCGGACTAAACAATGTTGTTGAGTTTCAGTAAAGAATAGGCAGTTGGAATTAACAAATAAAGTAAGGAGAGCAGAGGAAAGGCGTTCGGCGTGAACGACTTAGGTGTCGCACAAACAGTAGAAGTGCGCAGGATGGTTGAACAGGCGGACACTGCCTTCAAAACCACTGGATGTCAGTGGCTGCTGCCTGTCAGTGAACTCCTAGGATTTCCCCTCGACCAGGTACGTTCGCCCACCGCAAACCGTGGAGATACCGGTATGGATACATGAATATCGTTCTGAAGTTTTAATGAATGAACCAACTATTAAAGAGTGTGGTGTCATGTCAGTGAGTCAGTGAGGCGAGCGACATGGTGTGTTTTATCAATGATCACAACTCCCACACTGCAGATTGTAACCGTCACGTTGTACGTTATACCGTAGAGCCATTCACGCCCTTATTCAATTTAATCTGTCGACTGCATCCATATAATGAACGAAAACTGCAGAAATCTTGCGGTTTGCTAAAAGTTGCTTAAAATATCATGGCTGTGATGACGTTCTTACGTTTGTTTTGTACACAAACATGTATTTTGTGTCGACTGTCATTGCAAACCAGAGTTTTGTTTGTTTTTTTTTATCAAGAAAACTAGATTTAAAAAATAAAATCACAATGGAATTTATCTTTAAAAGACATGGTAACGGTTGAGTCAATAATCAGTAATCAGGGTTGCATCAATTAGACAACTACTGTAACCACTTACTACATCACAGTTTCTGATGTTCAACAAATAATAATAGTTTTAATGATCCATAAAAAAGTTCAGATTATTAGGCTGACTGTCCTACATTCACCAATTAATGGTTCAGGCTGCAAATACGAATCAATGACGAATAAACATAAACAAAATTATTTGTCTGTCCTTTTCCGACTCCTTGGTTTGTGAATGATGTTTTAAGGTTTTTATATTATTTTGCTCCGACATTTTGTTTACACAATTTATCGAGTCATTCCAGCATTTAATTGTATAATTACTTGTCTGTGAATGATAATATTTGATCTTAGAAATATAATTAGTTGCAGCCTTAAGTAAATCATTGTGCGGCTAGATGTCAGATGTGTGAGTTTTTGTCATTGTATAAACAAACTCTCTTTTTTTTTACATTTACTACATGTAATCTCTACTTGTATCTCCATCTCTCCTACGTAGGTGAACTTTTTGGCATGTCAGCTGTTTGCCTTGGCTGCTGCCTTCTGGTTCCGCCTCTACCTCAGTCCCCACCATGCCAACCCATTGGTCAGACACGCTGTGGCCACTCTCCTCGGCATTGCCTTCCTCATCTTCTGCTTTGGATGGTACGCCGTTGACATTGTCTCACACAGTCTTACTACAGTATCCACATTCTCCCATCAGATTTGACTGCGTCCACTGTTGAGCTCTACAATGAGCTCCCGTTAGTCCACGAGGAACATGTGTTAAGTGAAGATACATGACCTAAGTCATGATAATCATTTGAGTGATCGATGGACAGACCCTCAGTGTCCAGAGTCCTGCAGCTTTAGAGACATTGTAGGAAAGGGGGGTTTGGAATGTGCTGGATAAGAGTGAAGGACAGAAGGATGATTCACAGGAACAACAATCCGTTACGATGCATTTACCCTGACATTTGCTTTGTTTTTCTGTAGGTACTCGGCCCACATCCTGACAGTGGTGGTCGCAAACTACCTGATTATTGTTAACGCTGACATTAACAATGTGCACAGGTCAGTCTCTGTCTTCACACTCCAGACAGAATTATTGTATGTGGTGAAACAATAATTTAAACTATGCAATTGTGCTCCTTCATTATCACGACTGACGTCCTGTTTACCTTTTCACGTAGACACAAAGTTGTGCTTTGAAACATACCTGAGACGGACTCTGCGTGTGTCATAAGTCATCACGGTGGCAGGTGGATGACAGACCTGCTGCTGCAGCAGCATCTCATTTTCATTTTTGCGCTGCAGTTTTAGTTACTGTTGACTCCAAGTGAACAAGTCGGACAAGATCAGCCCAGAAACCGCTTACGTCATATATGGGTGTGCAGGCAGATCAGCTCAGGGAGATAGTGAAACAGCTAATGATCAGTGAAGGAAATACAGTTTGGGATTTTTATGGAATTATTATTTTAAAATAAGGACATAGGTAATAAATCTGATTTGGATTTTCGTATATTTGTGGTAAAAATTACCTGTTAAAGTGACCTCAACTAAATACTGTTGATGGACGCATCAAAGTGAAAATCAGCCTAACCCTCTGACTGGACCGGATTTAACATAACTGGAGTTGAAGTTTAACCAAAGACATTTAAGTTTAATTCTTCATATTTTGGGGTTAGTGTGAATTTGTATATATAAAAAAAAAAAACATTGTTTTTTTTTTCACTCACCATGGCAAGTTGCTTTAAGAAGGGAAAGATAAAACTGCCATTGTTCTGTGCACTTGAAAAAAAGCTAAACATAGTGTCACCATAGTTTCAGATTAAACAAAAGTCAAACCACAGCACATATTTAAAACAGCAACTCAATGAGTCAACCTGTGCACAACGCAGCATGTGACACACCAATGACCTTAGTTTCAAACTAGTAATCTCACCATTTTTAGTAATGCATAATCTGTTGATTGATTTATGGTATTATGATTTATGAGGACTGTTTTGTTTTATAAGTCACTTATCATAAATGCAGTTTAATTTAAAATAAAGATGGGGCTTAAAGGTGGGTGTTGTCTTATCAGTGAGGGATAACACTACATGTAAAGCCGTCTACAGGTGAAATGTAATATCTTTACCAATGCTCTGTATAGTGTTGGTGATATTGAACATCTGGCTGATTGATTTTCGGGAACACGTCAAACAAACATATATTTTTAATTTATATCACTTCACTAAAAGGTGGGCTACAGCAGTCATTTTACAGCTAAATAAGTGTGACCTTTTTTTTCTCTTCATGTAAGTACAGCTATAATGATCAGTCTGAACTACTAAATAGGTCAACAACAGTCACTGGTGATCACAGATAATAAGCACTTTGAAAGACTGGTTCCTTGTTCCTGGGTTAAACATGCTGGTCCAAAATTATAGCTTTATATTTATTCAAACTTGGTCAAAGAATAAATAATAAATTATTCACGTTCTGAATGACTTTAAATCTGTGGGTCAGCTATTGATCCCAGAAGAACAGGCTGATGGTACAGTCTGGGCTCACGTCTAGTGTTTAAATCTGTGGGTCAGCTATTGATCCCAGAAGAACAGGCTGATGGTACAGTCTGGGCTCACGTCTAGTGTTCATAGCTTATCATGGCTAATAGTGACATGTATATCTTTGAGACAGAACCACTGCAGCAAAACTGGTTTACATCCTCATCAGAGGAGGACTTGGCTGTGATTGGCTGCAGCTGTCCCTGCAGTAGAAGATAACTCAATGAATGATTGATAGTTACATTAGTAATAAAAGGTAAGATGGTGGACAGCAGTAGCAGAATGCTGGAGGATGGGAACTGCACGTTACAAAAACATTTTAGGCATTTCTAATATCGATATATCTATTATTCGATATAATAAAAATCTGTTCATTTCTTCATTCTCAGGTATGCCATGGCAACAGCGATGGGCTATCTGACTGTATGCCAAGTGAGCCGGGCCTATATATTCAACTATGGGATTCTCTCCACTGACTTCTCTGGGTAAGGAGGAGTTGCCTCACTTCTATTTCTGTCTAGTCACCACTCCCCCCCTGGTGACAGTATATTAATCACCTGAGCTTTAGTGCAGTTCTCATGTTATCAGTGACTGTATCCAGCCTGTCCGTTGCCTCCAAACAGTCTTCAGTGCCACGGCCTTATGTAAATACACCTCACTGATTAAAAAGCTGCAGTGTCAATGGTTCACAGTAAATGTCCATTGGGGTGAAGGTGGATATTGAGCTGCACCGAGCTGCTATTGAGTTCTTCACCGAGAGACTACCTCGTCACAAGGAGTTTTTACAATAACATTACAAAGTCACGTGCAGATTATTGTGATGCATTGTTGAAATACCAACATGGGGTTTTCCTAGAAACGCAAATGAAATGCATGATGTCATTGTCTGGTGTTGTCAGTAACAGTTGACAATGTCACTTCTTGTTTGGTTAACTGTGCTGGCAGCCTCACATATACAGTATATACTGTACCACCTGGATGGTGTGATACACGAGCTATAAATTCAGTGAGTTAAATTCCAATAACCACTTTGGTTTGTTTTGTGTTGGTTTTCCCAACAGGAACCGACCGTTTAAATGTAGTCCTTGACCATTTCCAAAAAGCAGTTCTTTACTGACTTTGTGATCAGAACAGGTCATATTTTGTTCATCGTGCCAACACTAGGATCCGTGTGGAAAAATGCAGTCTGTGGGCTGCAGAAGTGAACTGCACACATCAGCTGGCAGCCTGAAAATGTGTTCTTCACAGCCCACTGCCAGCTTCCACTGAGCAAACGCTGCCAGCTGCACATGCAGCCAGTGCTCACTGCCTCACTTTTCCATGGTGTGTGCACAATGTAGGCCTCACATACTGGCTGCTGTCCTGTGTGTCTGTGAGCTTTTGTCTGTTATATAATCCCTGAGCTACATGTATAATGTACATATCCATTTTGAAAGAAAAATGATTTTGGAAATTATATTTCATAGTCTACATCCAGGCTATTCATTGTCTATTCACTAAGAGAGGTATAGTGTAAAAGTACCAGTCTATTCATTGTCTATTCACTAAGAGAGGGGCAGTGGGGGCTTAGTGGTTAAGGAAGTGGACTTGGGTCCGGAAGGTTTCAGGTTTGAGTCCACCAGCTGCCAAGTCACCACTGAGGTGCTCTGAGCATGGCACCGTCCCCGAGCAGCTTAAAGCTGCCACTGTTCACTTTAGTGATGGGTTAAAAGAGGTCAGAGGTCACAAACTGACACCAACGACTATTGATTGAAACCATTGTAGCCAAAATGCCTGCACATACTTCGACTATTGATTGAAACCATTGTAGCCAAAATGCCTGCACATAAATCAGACTGAAAACAGAATAATAATACAGCATAAAAACACTCCGACGTTACTGTCTGTTCCATGTGAAGAAATCAGCTGACTTCATCGATTTATTTTAGCATGCATTAAGAAGAAACATTTCCATCTTAATGACAGGAGTGTCTTTTTTTCCCCACAGGCCTCTGATGATTGTCACTCAGAAGATAACAACACTGGCTTTTCAACTCCATGATGGTAACACACACACACACAGACTGGAATTGGTTTTGATATAAGGGTTGGGATTCCACATAAGGCTGTTTCAGTGCAGTGGTCCAGTGGAGTTCATTTTGGCTCCCTGTTTGGAGTAGAAACACACTTTACTTTCTGTCAAATCCTTCTACTGTAGCCATGCAGTTTCTGTATATCCTGGCTCAGAGTTCTGGTATTGACACAGACGTGGGTGGGAGACATCAGTGCAGTACGATATACCAGTGTTAACATGTGGGAACCTGTAACATTCAACTCACCAGGACAACAATCGACATCATTTACTGTCGCATCTCACAAAGTCTGAGAAAGTATCAGCTGTTAGCACGACACGCTGAAATATCTACCAATTTAAAGTCAACATTTCAACCACACTGATAACACTCTGGTAGTTTCCATGATTAAAGTTGAGACACAGCAAAGGAATCATGGGGCAGAAGCAGAGGTCAGGGAACTCTAACAGTTCTTGATGGAGTATCTGTTAGTTTGTTCATTTTAGTGTTGTCTAGTGTCATGTTATGAAATCATTCCAAGCCAGTAAACTAACCATTTTCACTGATGCCGTCCCTTTCTTTAAGGTACATATAAGACATCTGAGCAGCTGACTCCAGAGCAGAAGCTTCAGGCCATAAAGTAGGTGATGAATAAAAAGAATTCATGTGTGAATATATACTGTATAAATGCAGGTGTCATAAACCTCAGATAAAATCAACAGTTTTTCTCTAATCTCCATCTCTCTGATGAACACACCTTACACACTGCAGCATTAATAACAACTGGCTCCACCGTCGCACGGCAGGTTGTGGCTGAATTAATTAAAAAAAGAAAGTATAAATCAGTCTTTCTCTTTCTTTAGCCGCTCAGGACGATGGCGAGGAGATGCAGTCACGGTGAATAGCTCCTTCATGTCAAAGAGCATGCTGGGAACTATGAAAGAAGACATTGTTTTGCATGATAGCTATTAAGTGTTTATGCATGTTCATCGACAGAACTTCAACCATTGCCACCATTTTTACCCAGTCAAACTTCAAGCCGGCTCATTTTTCCACCTAAATGACACAAAAACGTTCAACGTT